CTGAGGGGTCCTTTCCTTTCCTTTCCTTTCCTTTCCTTTCCTTTCCTTTCCTTTCCTTTCCTTTCCTTTCCCTCTGAAATTTCTGGAGAGTGGAATAGAATTACCATGAGTGACTCTCCTCGTGTGCATCTTTCTCCATTTCTATAGTCTAATCTATAGGACAATCTCCCAGCCTTTCAGTATGAATGTTGCAGGTATTTGGATGTAAAGGAGGAGAGGGGGAATTATTTAGGTCATAACTTTGTATGAGTGACTGGCAACAGAAACACTGGACTGGGTCTTTTGCTCCTACTTGTTTATACCTGTTACTTTAATATAATAATTATTATTTGGATCATTTTCCTTAATAAATAAACAAGTATAATGTTTTTGACTTTGTTTTTCTCTTTATTTGTTTTTATGACTTGTGTGAAGAACAGATCATGTTTTAGGTGGTATTTCTGCAGAACTATTGCAAATTCAAATTGATTCATGACAAATACAAATCCACTGTATTTACTTGCAAGTAATGTGATCTCTAATGGGGCTCCTTGTTTTATATTGTCAGCCTTCTCAGGTAGACCAGACAGGAAACACAACCAGAAGACCTAATTCTACTTTATTTCAAGGCTACATTAACAGAATCTTGGAAGTCTGAAAGTACAAATCTCCTAATGCTGTGCCTTTACAGCCTGGAAGCTCGGGAAGGTCCCTTCTATCCTCTTCCTCCACCCATTGTGCAGCTCTTGGCTCTGCCCTCTCTTACGTGACTGTTCCCTAGGCAGCATCCCTTCGCCCCATCTTCCAAGGTCTTTCTCAGATACCACTACACATATATAGGCACAACAAGGTAACTGATCAGATATACTAGATCACAGCCATATTTCAATAATTACTGTAGCTCAACATGTTACAGGACTTTATTCTCTGAAACAGGCAAATAGCTTTTAAGAAATATGGTTTGGAGATGTTTATCTACCAGAGATAGCTCAACATGTTACAGGACTTTATTCTCTGAAACAGGCAAATAGCTTTTAAGAAATATGGTTTGGAGATGTTTATCTACCAGAGATAGCTCAACATGTTACAGGACTTTATTCTCTGAAACAGGCAAATAGCTTTTAAGAAATATGGTTTGGAGATGTTTATCTACCAGAGAAAGGTAACATACATATCCAGTCTATCGATTTTGCAAATAACATTTTTCTACCTGAAGTGAGAGAATTGTGGGTTTCTCTTTTCCATCTTTATTCAAATCAATCAAATCCAATAGTAGTCAAACAAACTCAGATTGATGTCCACTTCTGTTAAAATCAACCTCATCATATTTGACTGTGAAATAAATTATTTATATCATTCTCCTGAAAACCCATGAAATCCTGGTGCTTTACTATTATTTGTTATCAAGTAAGCCCTTTCACACATTTTGATTTAATATTGTCTTTTAGCCAAAATTCGTTGTCTGTATGTAATTTTCCTAATGATCCTGTTATTGTCAATTTATTTTTGGATATTTTGGATAATTGAGTGCCAATTCCCTTGTGATGGCTAATGACTGCAATAAAGTTATTGTATTGTATATTGTATTGTACTTATAATCAACATTTCTTTTTCATCTCATCCATTCCCAAAGCACCAAATAGCAACTGATTTGTGCTATTAAACATTAAATGAAATGAAACATGTGTTTCTAAAATTTTCTTTTGATCTTAGTACAAAGATATTTTTAGTTATTCCAAATGAGCAGAACGTGCCACTGACTTGTTGCTCTTGGATTTAAAGTGGTTACATTTCAAAAAAAAAAAAATGCTAGGCAACCTGTACAGTAGCAGTGACCAATAACCACCATAGTATAAGAGTTTAGATAACATGGATTTGTATGAATTAGAGATTGAAAAGAACACAACATTTAAGCATGTGGCCAGACAAAACAAGACTGAAGGGAAAGAATCCCATGACCCTCTTGATGAGTGGAGACCAGACAGTCTGTGGAGTCCTTGGGGTTCTCCGAGCTTGATTCTTTCCTTGCAAATGTTTCATTACCCGGCTAGGTAACATCTTCAGTGCTAGAATGTAAATCTCTAGTTTGGAAACTGCTTTATTTTAGTACTTACATAAAGAATGGATAGCTATGCAGGTACACAGGCAGTATAGCACAAGAACATGGACGCAAGAATATCTTAAAACAACCATAGCTCTTCAATTCATTTGGAATGAACTTTCAGTCCAGACATTGACTCTGAGATAGCAGGTTTCTTTTTTCCCCCTGTCTTCTCCAACAGCTGGAAAAGCTCCTTAAAAGGGTGGTGGAATGGTTGAAAAGCACAGTGCATTTTGTCAACTGTACAAAGTAGGTCAGGCCAGGACAGAGACACTGCAAGGATTACTGAAACTATGTGTTATTGTTGTAGGGGTTAATAACAGAATCTTGAAAGCCTAACAGGGTTCCCCCATATAAATATGGTTGAAGCAGTATTTCCTAGGATCAACACTGCTGAAGGAAGAGGATCCCAATCCTCACCAAAGGATTAATATGTTCCTTAAAAGGGATGCCTCATGAATACTGTATTAGAGACCACTATACAGGTACATGTTTGTGGAATAAATAATATTTACATTTGACATATGCACAAGAGGCAAAATCAAACATTTTGAGTGGAAAGCAAACCATCCTTTAAGATCGAATGGGCATCTTACAGATACCTTGTCTGAATGGAGCCAGTTTGGTGAAGATGCTGGGCTAGAAACCAGGAGACTGTGAGTTGCAGGCCTCCTTTAGGCATGAAAGGGTGACTTTGGCCCAGTCAGTCTCCCTCAGCCCAACCCACCTCACAGGGATGTTGTTGTGTAGGAAATAGGAGGATGAAGGAGCGTTAGGCATGTTTGCCACCTTGAGTTACATATAAAAAACTTGGGATAATAATCTAATAAGAATAATGAAAGAGAATAAATTTCACTGCATTTATCTGTGAAATTAGCAGCAGCATTTAGAAGAGGCATGGAATAAAACTCAACCACCTCCACATGTGTTGAATCAGGAATTAAGGTTGGTGCTAAATTTAAGAAATCATACAAATAATATTTTTTTCACCCAAACCAAATACTAATGATCAACTTTCAAACAGACATTCATTATACACACTCACAGTTTATTTTACAAAACAATCAAAGAAAGAAAAGGAAAATCTTTTAACAAGAAAATGCACACACACACACAAAAGAACCAACAATTAAAAAAAAACTTTAACTGTATAAAACTTTAAGAAGAATATCTGAGCTTTTAATGTTGACCAAGCCTGTTCCAAAATTTTTCCGAAAGGAAAAATATGAGGAGTTGGACAGCAACAGTGGAGCACAGCTGCTGTTCTCATGTCCACAACTGAAAGATTCGAAATGAATATTGACCCCGTGGTGTGACATGGGACCCTGGAGCAGGCAGACTGCTGAGTGGATCCAACAGGGCTTTTTATGTGTACATAAATGTTTAACATTTCCTTTGGCTAGGGCTCTTGGCTACTAGCAAAAAATACCTGGCAACTTCATTTGCTTGTTTCATCTTGAATTACTCCACTTGAGCAGAGTTTGGGTTCTTCTTAGCATGATTTTATTGTAGCTTGAGAGAGGGAAGGACAAACCGCAGTTACCACCAAGGGCATTCGTTCTGGCAAACTAAAGTATGGGTGGAGAAACATTTACACTGGGAACTGGTGCTTTCACTCCTTACTCTGTGGCACAGCCCAGCCTATCTCCTCCTCTTCATACTTCTGACCTCCAGTAGACCACTGGAATAGAGAGTTCCATTGTCCAGTAATTCCACAGAGACTGAAAAGGAAAAGGAAAGGAAAAGGAAAATTCCCCTCCCATCCACCATCTGGCTAAACAAATAGTTCATTTTCATGAATGGCAATATTAGTTATATCTTCCCCCCCCCCAAAAAATCTGGGCTATTCAAAAGGCCCCAAAATAAGTATTTAAAATGGCATGCTAAATTTGTATAATTCTGGATGAAATCTTGCCCAACTGTGCTCCAGACAGCTTCTCCTCATGAGGAGACCTTCAGCTTCTTACATATGCTGCTTTTATATACAATGTATCAATGAGCTGTACAGAATGTAGACATAAACTAAGCACCCTTCAAAGAACCTGGATATAGATTACCTTTCCTGTGAGAAATAAAAGCTAATGGGAAAAGAAAGTCAGTTTATGAACATGAAAAGCTACTTGAATGAAAATTTGACTTTTCAAATTGTCTTCCAACTGCCACAATCTAAACCCTTTTCTCTCTTTATGCTTAAAAACATAAAAATGCTAACTCTCCAAAGAAAAGTAAAAGTAAAAATCACATAAAGAAGCAGCTTACTTTTTAACACAGCATTTAATCTTGATCACATAGATTAATATTGGTCAATCTTTCCATGAAGAAAATATCTGAATAATGCTTATCAGTAAACAAAAGAACAACTACATAGATAAAACTTGTACTTTTAATTTTTTAAGCGTTCTCCACACAGCTTTTTGGATGTCCTTGTTCCTAAAGCTATAAATGAGGGGATTGAGTAGTGGAGGCAAAACTGTGTAGAGAAAAGCAGAGAGCAAGTCCAAAGTAGGGGAGGAAAGACTTTGGGGCCTCATATACGCAAACACAGCAGAGCTCAAAAATAAAGAAAAAACCATCAGGTGGGGGATACATGTTGAAAAAGCTTTGTACCTGCCTTGAACTGAAGGAAATTTTAGCACAGCAGAGAAGATGTAGCCATAGGAAACAAAAATGAACCCACTACAAAATGAGCCTATAGCAATCCCTACAACCAAAATGAGAATTTGATTAACTCTTGTATCAGAACAGGAAATCTTTTGCAGCTGAGGAACATCACAGAAAAATTGCTCAACTATGTGTAATTTGGAGAAATTTAACCTGAAAGTGAGAGTGGTGTGCAGCAGAGCATAGACCAAATTGCTTATCCAGGAAGCGGCTGCCATTTGTAAACAGACATCCCAGTTCATTGTTAGCGTGTATTGCAAAGGATGGCAGATGGACACTTAATGGTCATAAGCCAT